TTTCAAATTAAACAACTTGTAAATTGTTTTAAAATATTATTTAAAATATTTGTGGCACAGAGTTGCATTGATATTTTCAAGGAGCCACTCAAAATCTAAAGGAAGTCATTCTGTACCTAATTTTAGGTACTCAAAATAAATGGTTTGTTACTGTGAATATAATAAATTTATATGTATAAATTATATAATTATAATTGAACAACGTAAAGACATACCTGTCTGCATCCTGACTTCGACAGATTGCCAACAAGACATTGCAGACGAAGCTGAAGCGATTTACTGAATTTTCGTTAAGTTCCACTCCAAGTTCAGCACGAAACAACTGCCGCTTCTTTCTGTAAAGGAAGATTTTTAACATACGAAGTCACTGTTTTCTTAATTTTTGCCTGCCAGCCTAGGGGTACACTGATAACTTGGAAATGGAAATCAGCTACAAATAGACATCCCAATTTTTTTTTTTCTGTGTTAATTGTTTAGTATTTTTTAAAATTAATATTGTTACATATTGTTAGATAGTAGGCTTTATTTTTTTATAAAAATGTTATACTTTAGTATTTAAGTATTTTCTGTATTGTAATTTTAATGATAAATTAGGCTATATTTTTATATACATTTTATACTGATGTATAAAACTGGAAGTGAAAAATTCCTAAAAGAATTCAAAGAACAAAGGGAGAAGACACAAAGAAAGGCTGAGTAGGAATGCTCACTGAGATTCTTTGAATGCTGTATTTGAAAATGCTATGTCTTTAGGTAAAAAATCTTTCTGGAAATATGTCAAAACCAAAAAAAAAACTGATAATTAAGGTATATCACCCATTAAAAAAGATGGGCAACTCTACTATGCTGCAAAGGAAAAGGCAGAACCGTTGAATGCCAAGTTCAAACCTACATTCAATAAGCAAATCATTCCACTACCAGAAATAGCTGAAAATATATTTCCCAACATAGAAAACTTTAAGATTGAAAGTGATGGTAAATAAACTGAACCTCAACAAGACCTGTGGCCCTGATGGTCTCCCAACAGTATTCCTTACGAAAAGTCATGAGGAGCTTGCATCTGCTGTGGCAGCATTGTTCCAGAAAAGTCTACAGGATTGGGCACTCCCCAAAAATTGGCGAAACGCTAACGGAATGGATTCCGATTGGGAAGATCATGTGAATCGCATGTAAATGATTAGTTTTTGCTGCACAATGTTAACCTTAACGTTAACATTAGTACCCAACATGCAATGCGATAGCTCAGCCCCTTTTGTAAACAAATCGAAATACGAACGCGTAAACCCATAACTATCGTATATCGAGCACGTAAAATACTGAAATTAACACTCTCCACAACGCAAGATGAATAAATCATGACGTCATCTGTTAACATTAAGGTTAAGGTTATGCGGCGAAAACTACCTATTAACACCATCAATGACTTAATGAAAAACTTTAACCAAAAATATCAAACTGACTTTATAACCTCAGACCTTCAACTGCGTGCCACACAACATCCTTTTACATCAACTTACTGTAAATGCTACTCTATGGTATCAAGGGAGATGTTCAACATTGGATTGATGCTTTCTTGACCAAAAGACAGCAACAAGTCATTGTAGAAGGCATCCTCCCCAAAAGATGTCAATTCAGGTGTACCCCAAGGCACTTGCCTTGAAACTATGCTTTTCCTTTGTTTTATTAATAATCTCCCAGATTCCGTTAATTCTTGCATCTGCCTCTTTGCAGAAGATTGTGTTTTTTACAGAAAAATCCTCTCTATTTCTAACCTTATCTACCTTCGTTCAAGTAACTGTGGCAGGCGCCTTAGATCTTCTGCTGACCTAACTGTTTTGCGTGTTTCAACATGCCAATTAAAAACGTATGGCGAAAGATCGTTTCACGTAGCAGCACCAGAACTCTGGAACACCTTACCTTCTAGTATGAGAGAAGCACCCACCCTTGCTATTTTCAAGACAAGCTTGAAGACACATCTTTTCAGTACCTGTTATTAATTCAAATATTCAAACATTTTTTCCCTTTAGTTTTAACGAGTTGAGTATTGACTAGATAGTTGCCTTACATCATGAGAGCATCTGTGAATTATGTGCCTGCCACCCATTGCTTGTCAATGGTCTTAAATTGTGGGTGAATGATGCAGTGATGCTTGGTTTTTAGTTCATTAGAGCATCTGTGAATTATGTGCCTGCCACCCATTGCTTGTCAATGGTCTTAAATTGCGGGTGAACGATGCAGTGATGTTTGGTTTTTACTTCATGAGAGCATCTGTGAATTATGTGCCGGCCAACCATTGCTTGTCAATGGTTTTAAGTTGCAGGTGAACAATGCAGTGATGTTTGGTTTTTAGTTCATTAGAGCATCTGTGAATTATGTGCCGGCCAACCATTGCTTGTCAATGGTCTTAAATTGCAGGTGAATGATGCAGTGATGTTTGGTTTTTACTTCATGAGAGCATCTATGAACTATTTGCCGACCAACCATTGCTTGTCAATGGTCTTAAATTGCGGGTGAACGATGCAGTGATGTTTGGTTTGTACTTCATGACAGCATCTGTGAATTATGTGCCTGCCAACCATTGCTTGTCAATGGTCTTAAATTGCGGGTGAACGATGCAGTGATGTTTGGTTTTTAGTTCTTTAGAGCATCTGTGAACTATGTGCCGGCCAAGCATTGCTTGTCAATGGTCTTAAATTGCGGGTGAACGATGCAGTGATGTTTGGTTTTTACTTCATGAGCATCTGTGAATTATGTGCCTGCCAACCATTGCTTGTCAATTGTCATAAATTGTGGGTGAACGATGCAGTGATGATTGGTTTTTTTGCTCAGTCTGTTCACTCTGCATTAATGGTTTTTTGGTTACAATAGGAGTTGCCTTTTCTTCACCTTATATATATATTTTTTTTTAAGTGCATTGCGACTTTGGTATAATGCACTATACCAAATCCCACTACATTACATTACATTATTAAAGACCAGCAGGTACTTCAAGAGGACTTACAAAATGGGCTACAACCAGGGGAATATGTTTCAACGAGACAAAGTGCTTTGTCATATCATTCCATCAAGCCACAAGAACCTTTTTCTACCCCATGAATACTGCCACTGTGAACAAGTCAGTGAAGCACAACACATTGGCATAAACTTTACCAACACTCGGAAATGGTCTCTACACATCTCGAGCATCACCAAACAGGCGAACACCACTTTGGGTTTACTTAGACAAAACCTTAATTATTGCCAAAGAAAATCCAAGGAAATGGCCTACCCTGGTCCAAACTCAAGTATTGTGCTGCAGCTTGGGATCCACATCTCCAACAAGATATTATCTAAATTGATAAAGTACAAAGGTGAGCTACCCCGTTTGTCACCAGAAACTACCAAAAAAAAAAGATCAGTGTAAACAAAATGATGGAAGAACTTAAATGGAAACCACTTTCTACCCGTCGCAAACATTTTAGATTAATCCTAATGTATAAGGCTATTCATAGACTCGTTGCCATCACATCCTCTGATATAAAATTCCATTCTGGTCCTACTAGGTCATCATCAACTAGAAGAATCAGAAAGATACATGCCAACACAAACATATACAAATTTTCATTCTTTTCCCAAACAAACAATAGATGACTGGAACAAATTTGACGTCTCAATTACCAATCTACCCCTCAGTGAGCTCAAAATAGCAATAGCTAATATAATGAAGTAATTAATCAAATATGCTTTACTGTCAGATCAAGATCACAAATATCTTGTTTTTGGTAGACATGTAGCCCAATGCTATCCTGTCGCATGAGTAAATTTTTATTGTAATTTGTATTATTTTTTTTATATTTTATTTACTATATAATTTCTTAAAACAGAAAGACAGTTCCGAAAAGTGACGGAGACATTTTGAGATTCAAGTTTTGATCTATTTGATCATTTTCAAGAATACTGATGAGAAAATCTCACCCATCCATATATGTTTACAATATTTACAGAAGTATAACAGAAAGCAAATAAAAACTGACCAATCAGATTAAAATCAAATTTATAACTAGCCAATTAAAAATGAGGTATATCACTTATTATTGTGAACAGTCACACACCAGCCCAAGCACCAACACATGGACAGTCACACACCAGCCGCAGCACCAACACATGGACTGTCACACACCAGCCACAGCACCAACACATGGACTGTCACACACCAGCCACAGCACCAACACATGGACAGTCACACACCAGCCACAGCACCAACACATGGACAGTCACACACCAGCCACAGCACCAACACATGGACAGTCACACACCAGCCACAGCACCAACATATGGACAGTCACACACCAGCCACAGCACCAACACATGGACAGTCACACACCAGCTACAGCACCGACACATGGACTGTCACACACCAGCCACAGCACCAACACATGGACAGTCACACACCAGCTCAAGTAGCACCAACACATGGACAGTCACACACCAGCCACAGCACCAACACATGGACAGTCACACACCAGCCAAAGCACCAACACATGGACTGTCACACACCAGCCACAGCACCAACACATGGACAGTCACACACCAGCTCAAGTAGCACCAACACATGGACAGTCACACACCAGCCACAGCACCAACATATGGACAGTCACACACCAGCCACAGCACCAACACATGGACAGTCACACACCAGCTCAAGTAGCACCAACACATGGACAGTCACACACCAGCTCAAGTAGCACCAACACGTGGACAGTCACACACCAGCCACAGCACCAACACCTGGACAGTCACACACCAGCCAAAGCACCAACACATGGACAGTCACACACCAGCTCAAGTAGCACCAACACATGGACAGTCACACACCAGCCAAAGCACCAACACATGGACAGTCACACACCAGCTCAAGTAGCACCAACACAGCCACAGCACCAACACATGGACAGTCACACACCAGCCACACACCAACACATGGACAGTCACACACCAGCCAAAGCACCAACACATGGACAGTCACACACCTTTGTAATTTTTGCCATTTGATGAATTTTAATATATTTCTGTCTATTTTACCTTTAAAGTGTTATATCTATTTTTAAGGTAATTTTTAGGTCTTTGTTTATCTGTATTTGTATACAGTTTCAATCTGATGTAAAAATATCTGTACAAGTTTTACAATGTCAAATAAAGAAATCAAATCGAAGTCGTTTAAGTGCCCTGTTGCAAACATCAGCTCAGCAGTCAAAGACTCACCTTGGGTCCACTAGTAACTCAGATAGGTAGCCCATGTTCCAATGATGGTTAGCCTCTGAAGGTGTTAGACTGCCGAAAAGAGTCTGCTTGATTTTTGAATTCATACTTGAAAAAACGTCAGAAAACCTGACCTAATAATAAGATGGAAGAAGCAAAGATTGTACTGGTTTTAAAGAAACCATTAAAGATAGTTCAAATGTTAGGTGTTTTCATGAAACTGAGCACATTATGACATCATTAAATATATTTAAGATGTTAGAATGAGAGAATAATAAAACATAACAGTTTACACCACACAATAATCATTTTATAAATTTTAAAATTAATTTTAAAAAAGTTTTATTCAACAATTAGTTTTTGTTTTAGTCACACTAACCTGGTATCAGTTTGACAAAATGTATATTCAGTGGGAACACCAGTGTAATTACTCCTTGGTGAAATCGCCCTAGATTATAGTGGTTGTTGCTGCATTGTGTGTGCTATAGATGAATGCTCAATGAATAGAAGTCAAGAATGAAAAATGTATCATCAGTTTACTTTACCTTGATGTGTGTACATGAGGTATACAGATCATAGAGGTATGCAAGAATGCAACGCTCAGCTGATGAACACTCCGATATATTAGTTCCCTGCCTGATGACACCATATAATCTTTAATGGTGAAAACAGAAACTTTATTGAAACAATAAGAATATTTGAATGTTTCTTTAAATAAAGGTAATTAATTACTAGGATTTTCAATTCAATTTTTTTCAAAAATTAGTTATTTCGAATTGCCATAATGTGATAAAATACAAAAGAATCAAATGAACAGGAATATGGCAACCATGAACAAGTAAACTTTACAAATGTGGTGGTCAATATTTATGTATTTGCCATGTTAACAGAGCACTGCATGGTTCATAGAGACTACATAATTTTAAATATTAAAAAAAAACATTATGCAAACTTACACTTCAAAAACATTAATAATTTGATCCTGAAGCGCCAACAGTGATTTATGGTAACGACGCAAGACAGCAGTAATGCAGAAGCAAAGATCTATTGAGTATTTGCCAGATCCACCAATAACAGATGTCCATGAGGGGTCCCCTTCAAAGTTGTACACTTCATTCAGCAGCTGAAATTGTAACAATAAGGATGTGAACATGCTGCTATTATGGTTATAGAGTGCCCTGCTCCAAGGGAATTATAACAATAAAAATGTGAACATGCTGCTATTATGGTTATACAGTGCCCTGCTCCAAGGGAATTATAAAAATAAGGATGTGAACATGCTGCTATTATGGTTATAGAGTGCCCTGTTCCAAGGGAATTATAACAATAATGATGTGAACATGCTGCTATTATAGTTATACAGTGCCCTGCTCCAAGGGAATTATAAAAATAAGGATGTGAAAATGCTGCTATTATGGTTATACAGTGCCCTGCTCCAGGAGAATTATAACAATAAGGATGTGAACTTGCTGCTAATAATGGTTATACAGTGCCCTATTGCAGGGTAATTGTAACAATATAGATGTAAACTTGCTGCTAATAATGGTTATACAGTGCCCTATTGCAGGGTAATTGTAACAATATAGATGTGAACTTGCTGCTAATAATGGTTATACAGTGCCCTATAGCAGTGTAATTGTAACAATATAGATGTGAATTTGCTGCTAATAATGGTTATATAGTGGCCCTGCTCCAAAGGAAATGTAACAATAAGGATGTGAACATACTGTTAAGTGTGGTTATACAGTGCCCTGCACCAGCAGAATTGTAACAATAAGGATGTGAACTTGCTGCTAATAATGGTTTCACAGGGCCCTTCACCAGGGGAATTGTAACAATAAGGATGTGAACATGCTGCTAATCATGGTTATACAGTGCTGCAGGAGTTCCAGTGTTCTCAAAGGAATTTTCTAGTTGGAAGACTGTTGACCATTTTCCCCTTGAACTTACCATTATCAAGCATAAAACAAAATAATGGAATTGACCATACTCGGCCTGTGTATTGTATAATAAATTCTATTGAGTCTACAACCTTGATATTAATGTTGTTATTTATCCAGTATCCATGTCTACAGCGAAATTTGTATCTTACATTATAAAAATACATATTTTTGTAGACATATAAACAACAAGAAATGTTTACCTGGATAGCAAATTCTAGGAGACCATGAATATTCAATGCACTTTCCATTAAATCAAATATAAAGCTGATATGTTCAATAGAGGGCAGTGTTGAGCCAATGCCTTGATTGACGTTTGCTAGCTGTTCAGTAATTGTCAACGTACATGCCTGTGTCAGCATATGTTGGTCAAAAAACGACAGTTGCGAGAACTTTGTAAACAGGAGTGAAGGCAATATGATGTTCTCATATTTCGTACGCTTTATCTTGCACTCCATCTTTTCAGGATCTTTCTTGTTCGCAATAATACGCATCAGCTCTTTCTGCACTTTTTTGACTTGCTTTCTGACATCATCACGCTCTTTTCCAAATCCGTACAACAAAACCATTCTCTGGTTGCTGTCATGCTGGGCCATCTCGTCATGCGGTATTGGAAAGTGCATTGCGTATTGCAAGTGTCGAGGAAGATTTGATGAGATTGGTTGCGAAAGACTACCTGTTTCTTCAGAGGTATCTGGCTCAGTTTTTAGTTTGTTTGAGTAGATTGCCTCTTGGAAGATCTCTTGAAAGGAAGTGGACTGCTTGCGAGCTCGTTCCTGAGCACTACCTTCTCCATAATCTTCAAAGTCATCATCTTCTACTTCCTTCTTGATTTGAACAATTTTTTCCTGTGAAAAAAAAATATATAAATTCTTATAAATGTATACTCTAAAATGTCAACACTTACTCAAGTAGCAGTGTTAAGCAATTTTAAATTAAACTTATTGAGAGGTTAGCTAAGCACTGACATAGACAGATGTATATTTAGGAATTAGTAATTGTAAAGAAGGAATATTAAATGATTCCTGGTGAGGAGATAATCACTAGTTGCATTTCACTTGTTTTTGTCTGTTAAGTGCAGCATAGTAGTTATTCTTTGATTCTTCTGTTTTTTACCTTTTTCTCTGCATTTTGATGTTTTTCCTCATCCTCTATGTTCATCTCCATGACGATAGAGGGAAGTGAATTTGTTGCAAGATCCCCACGGGCGATTAATCGGCACATGTACTTGTCGTGGGAAAAAATATCATACGTGATTAATTCACTGAAGAGCAACACAAGGTTTGCAAAGGATTTCTTGCTCTCTTCATTTCCAAGCACTGTCAAACAAATTATACAGAGAATATTAAATGATTTATATTTCAAAAAGTGGAAGGCTTGCTATGAGGCACTGACAATTCAGGCCAAAAAACCGTAGTTATAACTACAGGATATATATTATATATATATATATATATATATATAACCTGATTAAATCTTTCCAAATATTGTATGTGTTATGTAGTAATAAAAATAATCTATATTTGAAAACAGTGGCACACGAGAACGGTGCATTCACAAAGATTGAATATTAACAAATATATATACACATTGTGAAACAAAACAGAAAAGTAACTGACATAACAAAAGACATAACCTAACCCTAACATGGTTAAAGTCAGGCTCCTGAGGGAAAACAATTTTTGATATGTTGTAGAACTGATTTTTCTAAGACAGAAAAAAGTAGTTTGATCAAAAACTGAGCAACGGTGAATGAGATACAGATTTTTGAATATTTAAAAACTGGGGGAAAAGGTGTAAAAATGGGCGGTTACACCCCTTTTTTCCCCAGTTTTTGTAATGCATATTTTTAAATAATAAATGTTTACATTTCTGCATACTTCATAATACCATGCATTTATGCTCTACTAAGATGATATTTTGTGTATGCTTGCTCCATTTTAAATGTATAGAAGTGCTCTGTTAATGTTAATCATTAATCCTACTTCCATTTTCATTTCTGCAATTTTATTTCAATCATTCAATTAATTACTAAATCATTGGGTAGCATTGTCAACCCCACAGACCACCACACTTTAACAATGGTATAGTCCATTTTGGGTGGTTTATGTCTGGGTGGTTATTGTCCTGGGTGGTTTTTGTCTGATTTCCATGGGTGCACTACTGTTTGATGAGGACTGCTACTGTCCCCATTGCAAAGGGTGTTTCTCTGTAAGTTGTAAGTACTGTGCCAGGCCTTTGCCACTATAGTCCAAGTCATTGCCCCTGTCTCTTATACACATCTAGATGTGTATAAGAGACAGCCCTTGAACTTACCATTATCACAATTGAATGAACGTAACATCATCGTTAGTGTTATCGGCAGAGCAGGTGCAACTGTGATTGAAAATTGTTTTAACAATTTTTTTGTTGAAGTTGGTCTCAAGCTAGCTAGCAAAATTCATAATAATAATCCAAATTCTCGTTTCAATGATTATCTTCCAGCTCCTGTGATTAACTGTTTTTAAGCCCTGTCTATGAAATTGAGTTGACTAAAGTTATTATGTCATTCAAAAATAAGGCACCGGGCATTGACAAATCTAATACTAGCGTTATTAAACATGTGTGTAATTATATTTCTAAACCCTTTCAATTTCTCAAGGTATTTTTCCAGACTAACTTGTCCGTGACAAGCTAAAGTCACTCCTGTTCACAATGCTGGGATTAAATCTGAAGTAAATAATTATCACCCGATTTCTATCCTTTCGATTTTTTCCAAACTTTCTGAACAGATTAAATCGCACATACTGTATGCTTTTATTCAGAAAAATAATATTCTTCCTGAATATCAATTTGGTTTTAGAAAAGGCTATTCCCCGTCTCTGGCCTTGGTAGATTTAACCAACTATATTACTGATGCATTTCAAAATAAAAGTTATGAAATGGCTATATTGGAGCCCAGCATTCTGCCTAACAGAGAGCCTGTGTGCACCCGGATGTAACAGCGACGTTGTTTCGACATTGGTGGGTGGAGCCTTGCACTTTAAAAGAACTGATTTATTATTATTATATTATTGATCGATCAGTCAAAAGCTTTTGACACGATTGATCACAACATACGCAATGCACTAAATACATGGGTGCATCTTCCAAATTCAGGCAAATCACATGTGGGGTTTCTTTGTACGAACGCACCAATTTATATTGAGTGCCACCGATTCAAAGGTGTATGTTCAAATAAATAAATAAAGTTCCACAGGGATCACTTCTAGGTCCTTTACTTTTTATACTCTATATTAATGATCTTTATAACTCCTCCAAACGTCTTTCTTTCATTTTATATGCTGATGATACCACAATTTTATATTCTAGTAATAATGTTGATTCTCTCTTTGAAATTGTTAATTTGGAACTTAAGACTGTTATTGATTATTTTTCTGTTAACAAGCTTTCAGTTAATGTAAGCAAGTGTTTGATGATGTTCGAATAAACATTTGATTCAGTGGTCCCAAAATTCTGGAATAACATACCTCTCGATATTAGAAATATTGCTAACAAAAAGTCCTTCACTTACCAACTTAAACATAATTTTATTTCAAATTATTAAATGGGTAATGATCTGCTGTTATTTATTTGTTATTCTTGACTGTTTGATTGTGTTCGTGCGCATGTTTTGTTTGCATGTTGTTTGATGTGTTGTTTTTTTTGTGTGTGTTACCAATGTTTATATCTCTTTATTAAAACTAACTAGCATTTACTTTCATGGCCCCTCCCACACAGGTTCACCTTTTGGAGGATGAAATTTTCTTTGTCTTTGCTGTCTCCTTTTCTACTTCTTTGAATTTTGTCATTTATTGCCTCATAGAATTTATATTACTTATGTTATTTTTGAGGTTTATACATATATATTACATTTTGTTAATTTTTGTTAAATTGAGAAGTAGTTTTTGTGATTTGTTATTCTGTTTCATTGAGAAACTAGAAAATAAATGTTTTGATGATTTTTGATTGTCTTACCAATGGCTTGTAGTTTTCCAGGAGTTGGGTGTATTTTTTGTCCTTAGTTATGGCTTTAAAATTTGTCAAAACAGAAAACCAATAAATAGGGCACAATGTCATATCCAGTTCAGCTTGGGTATGAACATGAAAAAATAAACAGTTTTCTTGAAAATCATGTTTGCCTGTTTACAAACTTTGGGTAACATACTAACATACATGCGCACCATGATAGGTATCATTGTTAATAGGAACCAAAAATAGACTGTCTGTGGTAAAATGTGAAAAAATCTAAATTTGTATATTACCCCATTTTCCAATTCGATCTGTCGTTTTTCAAGGAGTTCGGCAACTATGAGTGCTCGATGTTCTCCAGTTCGTTGTGGGCAGACTGCCCATTCACAAAGTAGCTGAACAAGTGGATTATCATTGATGATTACCTAGCATTATATTAAAATTAAACCAAACAATTAAGAAATTAGTAAACAGTTGATTGTTCATCTGGATAATCAAATTTTGAAATTAACTTACAATAAATTAAACAAATCAGTAGTGATGTTGGTCTATGAGTGAGATACTTATCAGATAAACCGATAAATGCCTAAGTTTTATTTGGAACTTATCTCTCAAGCAAAAAAGAAAAATAATGGACTTGCCCTAGCTCGCCTATATATGCCCTGCTTGAATGAACAATCTTCTTGTTGACTTCGAGTCTATAACAGATCTCAGTGAGGGAGGAGGGAAGGTGTTTATCCAGGTAAGTATCTCACTCATAGACCAACAACATCACTTAGTCTATTTCATGAATACTTACCTGGATATCAAACAATAAGAAAACGGTAGCACTTTATAGACTAGTTGAAATATGTATTGTCACAAGCTTTTGTGTACACAGTACACTTCTTCAGGTGAATGGTAAGAGGAGCAACATGCTGTAGTGACGACCCCCTGGAGGTCACCCTGCAATGACCCTAGATTCCCTGGGTTAGCTCACCTGCGCAAACCGGCGTATCTACGGGCATGCGCACTGAACGGCCGACTCAGGTAATCCCTTGGAGAAAGGACGGCACTTCAAGTCGAGAGCTCATGCTGTACACACACAGACGTGTAATATACCATTGTATTCAGCCCTACGCGGGAAACTAATACCAATACCGGTAAGTACCTTTTGCGCTTTTTACAATATTGGCGCTGCGAGCGAAAGGCTTGCCATATGTTGTCTGAACGAGGACTACTTCTCCTCATACTCGATGCAGTAAGACCTGTAGAACCCGAAACACTGACAATAATTCGAGGACATTTTGCTTTGCCTCTTCGCTGGACCAAAGCCTGCAATAACCATTCCATCCCGACTCGGATGCGTCCATCGTGATGCGAATGCTCCCCGCCCTTAGGCCATCACCGCAGATGTAATGCAACAAATGTTATCATCGGTACAGCGATCCCCTAGTGGATGGGGCGGGGGAGGAGGGAAAGTGGGACAGGTCAGGTACGAGATCCACAAAACTGGCCAGATACCACAGAACCTTGAGCCTGAAGTAGAGCAGGAGAGGTGGGGTGTGCCTGTAGGCATGAAACGGCTAAGAGACACTTGCGTATCTTGGTTTCCGATGGCGAAGCGACTGATCGTCGCAGATCAATGAGAGCCCCTAGGTACATGGGGAATTGCGAGGGCACCAAGTTTGACTTCTCCTTGTTGATCATGAACCCCAGTTATCACAACGTTGAGGTGATTTAGCAACACCTAACTGTCTATCAATAGCATTCTACGAGCTTTCGCAAACAGACGTAGCCTTTCCCCCACGGGTCCGACACCGCATGCGGTGCCGGACGGACCACCAATGTCAGCGGTAGCAGGGACTCCTCCGCCCATGCCAGCGCACGATGCTGCACCAGGGCAACAGGAGCTGGGGGAGCAGTCGGGACACTCATAAGAGGATGAGGGTGAGGCGCTACAGGGTGTGCTGGAGGAGTTAGGAAGGCCCTCGGGTAATGCCGAACGGCCGGATGACGTAAGGAAGACCCAGCCCGGACCTGGAATGAGTGCTAGCACGGTCAGCGTCCCTGGGGACAAGAGTGCGCTTGGTTAGCCTCTAACTCTTGGGCCCAGGCATCAACATTAGTGCCAAAGAGACCAAAAAAACAAATCTTCGGCTCCATAAGACGGACAGTTGAGGAAACGTTCAAAATGGCCCTGCGATATGGAAGTATAATGCCTCAAGCACAGGAAATGCCGCCGAAAGACGGTGCGGAGCCGTCCTATGGTCTGAACACTCTTGGGCCTGGGCATCTAAACGAGCAATAAGGTCCGCATGGAAGGGGACAACAGGTGTCGGGGAAGATGCATGAAGAGGGGAAACAGGTTCCCACACGGAAACCCCTGCCCCAAGGAGGCAGAGGGGACCGTGTACTCCACCCCTAGGTGGTCAAAGACGGCAGGCATGACCCTGCAAACCAAAGATCGCAGACCCCCGCCAGCATACCAGGCTCAGATGACACATCGCAATCTGAAAAATCCCTAGTAACAGCATTAGGAGAAGACTCCCATGGAACTGGAACAGCCAGGGTAGCAGGAGGAGCAAGAGGCACAGCAGCAACGCGCTGCTGCAACAAAGATAACGCTTCGTTCGTAATGCGCAAAACCTGATTGGAGATCAATTTGACTATTTCAGGATTAAGAGCCTGCTCCTGGACATGCTTGAAGAAGGCCCAGGAACACCGGAAGGATGACTCAGAATTAGAGTCTAGGCTGGGCCCAAGATTGCTAGCAATCCAGGCCATAGTAACCTGGAACCTCGCAGGAGTACAGGCCTTGCAAAATATCACACGGCGTGAACCGCCCGCAAGAGCGACACGCCGGGCATGCAGGGTGTTTATCATCGCGTGAGCTAGGCCCATCACACATCGAACAAGTCAGTTTCCGCATGGACATGGCTACGGAAACACTCTACAATAGAAATCTTTTGGTAAGCTTTCACACGTCTATAATAAACAAAAGCGGGAAGGAAACGAGGATATTGTTCATTCACACAGGGTGTATTTAAGCAAGCTAGGGCGAGTCCATTATTTTTCTTATATGCTCGAGAGGTAAGCTCCAAAGGAAACTTTGGCATTTATCGGTTTATCCAGGTAAGTATTCACGAAATAGACTGTTACACCAATGAGATAATACATATTATTTTACTAATCTTATAGCAGGTATAATCACAAAATTCACATGGCATTTGCAGAAACTGTCCACTCTTTGAGATCTTAGATGAAGATCTCAGTCAATGGCTGGGTTGATTAATGTAAAATGCTCTTTAAAAACAGTGCAATTACAAGAAAGCCTGATATTAAACTATAAATTTGTTATTTTTAACGCACTCATTAAGGGGTCATTAATTATTTTCATCATTTTCACGAGCGTACAAAACATACGCTGGGGGAGAGGGTTGAAGGCATGTGTAAGCTTTTAAAAAAGTACAAAAATGGTGATTTTGAAATGTTATCCTATGTTTTTGTGCCTAGCCATTTCCCTAGAAAGCCAAAGTTTACCGTTATAAATTCACTGGAAATGTTCAGTTTATCAACTGTTTATACACAGCGTCATCTTACATCCCCAATTAATATGTGTGGATAAGCATTGTGTACTTATAAACAATTTCAAAATACAAGGGAAATGCACTCTAGCTCCGTAAATTTGAATAAACTGTAAGCCATGGCCACAGCCTGACACTTAACAGTAGGGTAGAATCATTGGGACCTTGTGTTTCACTGTGCTGTGCTAAGCCTACCTTATTTCTTCTCCTTTCTACTTCACTAGGCCTAATTCCTACCTTTAACTTCAATTGACCTACATCACTTATTCTATTTAACATTTTAAAACACAATTTATGATTTGTATACTCATGATACTCAATGGATACTCATGATGACATAAATTTTATACAAAAAAACAACAAATCACACGCCACTAATGTAGGTGAAAGGTTAAACATGTGCTTTATTCCTTGTATGTCAATTTTTCTTAAAATTGCTTTCTATTTCCTCTTATATCTATGTGGTAATAAATTTAAACAACATGAAATGTTTATTAATTATTGTTTAACTTTTTTTAAAATTATTGTTAACATAGTAGACATATATGCAAGTTTGCTTTGTCAAAAATGGAACCTACCACTAGTTTGGCAAAGTGGTTATTGGGCCAGGATTGAGCTCATGTTATATTTTAGTTCTGGTATTTTACAAGCTGCTGATAGCACAGTACTTATTGTTTGTAATGATCAGCAAAAAGAGTATGTTTTGTACTCTTGTGAAAATGATGAAAATAATGGATGACCCCTAACAATCTATCATCATCAACATTTTTTCACCAATTCTAATATATGCAAGTTACAATGTATTGTTTAATTTGTATATTGGAGTAAGTTATTAAGTTAAAATTAAAAATATGAAAAAAAAAATACCACATTAATTTTCATACAGTTAAATAATAACTTTTTTGTATTCTTTTGCATAGATCCTAAAATTAGCTTGTAATCAATAGGATATTTGTAGCAAAATGTTTGTAAATTGGTGAAAACTACTTTTTTTTTATCTGTATCTTGTTGGAAACTAATAATTTATTTGATCCTTTCAAATGAGCTATTCAAATATGTTTTTATATAGTTTTGATGTATTTTCCAGTCTTTTTGACTGATAGTACACCATTAAGATTAGACTGGTCAATGTACGTCTCATTATAAATGGTATAAAATATCACTTACATCACTGCCATCTTTACTTTGACAGGAGGAAAAGATTTTGTGGTAGAGCGAGTCTAGACTGTTGTTAGAATCGCAGCGATCAAAGTAATGTCGGTCTAGAATTTCTAACGTGTTCAACACTCTGTTGATAGTAAAACCAGCTGTTGATTCCTGGTATTTGTCTGTGGACCATCTTAATTCTGCAGCATGGCTCCTTGCCCGAATTTGAAGTTCAGAGTTGCGAAGGCCCATCTTTATCTAAAGATTTTTAATACCATATAAAAAATGTTGTTATAGAATAAACATATTTTCTGTAATTTTAATTTTGTAACATTTTGTACTTGATGGTATACACCAACATGCAGCAACAGGGCCCAGATTACATATGAGGTTTGCTATCCCAAAAACAGCATCAGTGACCAAAAAATAAAAACTGACTAAAATGATGGGTCATTTAATAGAATCGACTTACTATTCCTCATTGGAGCTAAAGGAACTCTTAATCAATCAGCCGAGTGTTACTAGAGCTACCCATTGGTGCTAAATAATAATAATTGGAACTAACAGATCCCCATACAAAAAAGAGAATGAAAAAATATTATTAACCAATCAGCCGGGTATTCCTAGAGTTCCTTAATCAACCTAGTGTTTCTTGAGCTTTCTATAAGAAGTAATGGCCGCCCATACCAAAAAAAAGAATAAAAAAAGTTCTATTAATCAATCAGCCTACCTTCATCGGAGCTCAAAATAGATCTATTAATCAATTAGCCGAGTATTCCTAGAGCTCTTTGTCGGAGCTAAAAATCAAAAATGGAAAGCAGACGAGGAAAGAAAGAGAAAGCGCTAAAAAAAAAAAAATGCAAGAAAAATATGAAAAATAGAAGGTAATAAAAAAATCTTTGCTCTCACTTGTTGTGCCTGTATGCTGACTGGGTTTGGTAGGGGTAAGCTTGATGGAGCACAAGGAAGTAAATCCAATGGTGAGCCAGGTATATTGCTGTTCTTGCCCTCCCCAACATTGATCCACACAAGGGCGCTTGGACAACGTAACGTGATGGTCTGTACAATGCTACTGAGAAAGAGCACGATTGGACGATGCTGTGCACAGTTGGTAAACTCGGAGAAAATGACTGACAGAGAGCTCGGCGAAAGTGCATTTGCTTGGATTCTAAATCAGAATTAAACATTCTACGCTGTATATGTGACCCTAGCTTAAAAAACAAGCTGTAAACTCGCACTGCACTGTATTGAGAAACAAGCCTCAATACCCAGAATAGGGCGTAAAACGTGAATTTTGAGTGAATTAGGTTTTTGTGTTATAACTATTAATCTTACTATTCCTGAATATTGAGTTTAAAATTCCAACTTTAAGAAGTAAAATTTAGCCATTTTCGGATGGGAGCTAATGAAAAATGAATAAAAACCTGCCGAAAATAAAAGCATTTTTCTCAAAACTTGATTTAAGAAAGTTGATAAGATGATTCAAAACGGTCATAACTTTGCTTCCAGACACCCGATTGAGTTCATTTAAAGTTAAAGTAAATGATATGTTCTATGCCATTATAACAAAAACTTTGGTTGCTAAACATACCAAAATATTTTAATAAACATAAGAAAAAAACATTTCAAAATTAGCACTTAAAATAGAAAAGACACTAACACGAAAGGTGGTTATTCCCCCTTTCACCACAGCTTTGAAATGATTAAAAATCTGTATCTCATTAACCCGAGACTTTTCGTCCAACATCCCTCCAGTGTCTTAGAAAAATCAATTGTACAATATATCAATTGTTTTATTCCTCCAGAGCCTGACTTTAAGCTAGTTTAAAATCTTATTCTTAATTAAGTTGTTAATTTTTTTTAATTGTTTCAAAATTTATAGTATTCCAGTGTCACCAATCAACAAGCTCCACTGAGTTTCTAGGAAAGTGAATTTTTGATTTAACACAGACATATCCATTGTGCTTCTGACACTGCTTTCATACCACTTTATGCTCAGATACATTACTTTTTACAGATGATGGGTGTCGACCGTACTAACTACACGTTTTGCAACACAGTACCTGTGTTCTAGAGTGATACCTTCTTATCAATACTTTGAGCGAGCCAAATGGCCCGAGCGGTTAAGGCAGGGGCACCGTGATCATAGCCAACAATATCGGCACGGGCTCGCGACCGGCTCGCTCCTATAGTTCTGGTGGTGGAACAAGTCTTCTCAAATAAGGACTATAAATCGTAGGCCCAGTGTATACAAATGCTCATGTGCACTTTAAAGAACCCAGTACATCTTTCGAGAGTAGGGGGTTACCCCGATGTACTGGTCCACTCAGCCCCTGTTGTGGACAGATGAAAGTGCGTCGGTTTACTGGCTGTAGGACATGAAGCTTGTGGTTGAGTTTTAGTGCAAATTGCATCGGCCGTTGTCGTGAATAGTCTGAAATGCTTTTAGCAACGCACATTGCGTTAAATCCGATTTTATTAAAAGTTCATTAATTTAAAAAAATATGAAGGAAAGTTTCATTTCAACTGCAAATCAAATCACTGTTTTTTTTAAATGTAAAGGCATGGCATATTACAATTTCAACTAAGTAGGAAATCTTTTATGGGAATCATCGTGGTATTTATTGAAAATTTCCTGATATAGTGACATATTAATTATGCAAATGAGCAATCAGCTTACACACTTACAAAAAACAATATGCTCCATCTTCTTATTACCCTCTTGCATTCTGCCAATTTTGAAATCATTCGGACTTACAAAATTTTAGTTTATCGTGGTATCAATCAATTACACAACAACAACAAAGACAACGACAACGTTGACAGCGTGAAGAAGAACATGGCTAAATACAATAGCCTCTCCGAAGCTTCGCTCCTTCTGGGAGGCTAATGTGAGGTGTAGGATTACATGTCTTTAGAGTTAGATCAAATAATACTTTCTTGGTCTTTTTTTTGTCTTCATGACTGTCAAGCGACCAGGTTACAAAAATATAAGCTCTACAAGTCGACAATTATTATTATTAACTGCAAATATTCAATAATGGTATAAAAAAATATAACACAGATTATCAAACAAAAAAAAAAGAATAAACTATAAACACAAAATATCGCCTTTTAAAAATAATTTATATATATATATTTTTTTTTTTGGAGGGTGGGGTGATTATTTTACTCAAATTTTAGCCATTGTGCAGATACACATGATGCCACATGTGTTTTAACATATAGCATGGCACAGTGCATGCTGGGCTAGCCATCAGTTGTTGCCAACTATGCCAGAAGTCTCTAACATCTTTTGCCTGCAATGAAGATGACTTACCTGCATCACTATCGGCAGGACAAGACGTAGAATGTTGTCATCTTTATTGTTCACCTTCTCAATAGTCTCCACAAGCCAGGACAAGTACTCATGACAATCGAGCATACATTCCTAACATCATACAAGTTATTTTAAGCATATGAGAATTACACTTTCCATTAAATCATGAAATTAAGGATTGTTATGATAGTATAATACATACTCCAAGTATCGAACTTGGAGTATTTATTATACTATTTTATCAAGGATTGTTATCACATACAAGAAAACCAAGGAGATTTTTTTTTATTAAATATGTATTTCCTGCCTAACTTCTTATATTAAATGATACAGTATTTAAATTTATTTTCAATTGTATTTGGTTTACTTTTAGTTCATTAGTAAAAATTAAGCTGAGAATCTACGGAATTAAGAGATTCTTACTGGTCACACGACATTCATAAAAAAAGTATGTTTAATAATCCAACTACTAATCTCCTATAGGGCAATAAAGAAATACCGTTATTCCACTTATTCAAATAAACCTTTTAATAGAGAATTTCAAAAAGGCAGGAGGCAGATAACAAGCAAATTACAAGTTGACAATTGTTGTACCAGATTTCTTTGCCACTTGAGACACCGGACCCCATCAAGACCGTTGGTGACTCCAATCCATAACTCAGGCTATGGTTGATGCTTCATATCAAGTCATCTTGCACAGGAGCCTGTGCTGAATGCCCATAGTCATAATGTACCTCTATAATGGTCATGATGTGATGTCATCATGACCATATTTAGACATGTCACATGTATTTTTTTCAAATAAAATTTGATAGTCGGGACAGGGCTATAAAAAAAACTCTGTACCTGTGATTAGCTTACAATATGCAACTTACCTCATACAAGTACCTTGCTAGTGTTGTCATGTAGTCCCACATCTTTTGAGCAGTTTCGCTATCAGTGATTGACGGTGTCTGAAGGGTTGAGACTGGACTAGGCCCACTGGGAGTCTGATGCGGATCAGCCATTTTACTCAAAAGTTCCTTCAGAAATCTTGTTATTACTTGGCACCATTCTGAAATTTGAAGTAAATAATATTACAGTCAAGTCCACCTAAATCGATTCTGTTTAAGTTGAAAGTTTGCATCAGTCGAATTTTAAAAAAAGTTTCAATTCTTTCCAAAAATTACTGTGTAAATAGTTTGTTTAATGCAAATTTTTATAAGTCATATTTCGGCTATTATTGACAGAATTTTCTGGTCCTGATACGATAATTTTAAAGGAATTTTTAACAACACACAAGTCGAAGTTCCAAATTTTCTAGCACACACAGGAAAAATACAATTCAAGTAAACAGATTTATTCAAAAATAACAAGAAACTCTCATGGTTTAATTTTGCAGTCAAGTCGAAAAAACAACCTGACAAAACTGTAGCACTGGATCTCTCTATTTTCGTAAGCTGTAGATCTTCGTTTACTGTCCTGGTTACCCATCAACTGCTCTGGTCGAAAAGGTTTTTTAAAGTGTTGGGATGAATACTCCATCTTTTTTGTTTTTTTGCGGCCAGACAACCCAATGCTTGTTTTGCCGGTTTACTTCTTGACTCGAAGTCATCGACCGGAAAATGCTCACTGCACAACACTGAATGTATGGAGCCTGGAAGTGTACTCTACTCAGGTTTTTGATGGCTTCGGTACATTTTTCTTAAAATTTTGTCTTTTGGGGACTGATGCTTGGTAAAATCGTTTGAATGGTTGTTGCTGCAGCCACACAACGAGGCATTGCTTGGTAACAAAAGACCCTTTCTATGGTCATTTATGTAAATACACTATGCTATACAATACATCATCGAGTCTGTCAAAACAAACGTAGGACCGACGGTGCGTCACTTCGGTTAAAGGTCAACTTTAGGTTAACTTCGGTAGGCAGAGCTTCAAAGCCGAAAATGGCTCAAAATGAGCTATTAAAAATCGTTTTTTGACAAAACGCAGAAATAAATGATAAAAAAAGCATCAAGGTATTTCTTTGTCATCATAATATGATTTTTATATTGTACTTTATTAATTTATAATAATTTAAAGAAAGGTAGTTTTCATCCCCCTTGTTATTCTTTAAATTAACATGTTTTTGAGAAGTACATTTGTTATTTACACTGACAAATCAAACAGACCTCCGATTCTGAATTAAACCCTACTGAAAAGAGTCATTGGTAGAAACTTGCTTTGAATTCCATCTTCATTTCAGGTTGATTCCAAATGATTTAAGGGTTAAAGCAAGAATACACCTTATTAAAAAAACAAAGGAAGGCGTAACTTTTACTTAATCATTAAGCAGGTAAAAGTTTACTCGCGTACCATTTTAATCAATAGATAATCTGCATGGCAACGCTACTGGACTACAGCTAAGCATCTCGTTTTCACAGCATCTGGTATGCTTGTTGTTAAACGATGTTTATTTACTGTAACTGATCTTCCTGTTTTTAGAAGCGAGTTTTATTGTCCTGAAATTGACAAATCGTCCAAGATTCGGGATAGGGAGATCCGGTTTTTTTCAGGAAGGATTTTATTAAAGAGAGAATAGGAATGATTTTGGAGCTTGAAAAAAATGTTTTGTGTGAAATTCGAATTTTATTAAATACACTGTTTGTTATTCAACATTATGTCAATTTTTTGTTCCCAAAAATGTGCAAGTCAAAATTTTTATAACTCAAACTTTTTTTGCCAGTCTCATTAGATTTGACTTAGGTATATTCAACAGTATTATTAAATTATATTTATATTTTACTGGGCCATTGAGGGTTTTGTTGGGAGTTTGAATCTGAATGGAGGCAATTCTACGGTATACCAATACAACACTAGTAGTTGATGCAAACATGTGAAACAGATCTATGTGATACTGCCTCTTCTTAAGCATCTTAAACAACAGGATGAGAAAGAAAATTTTTAAAAAACTTACCAATTGAAGGGTCATTTTGGGCTCGTTTCTGTCTGACCTTGGAATCCGAGATCGCCTGTGTTGATGCATGCGTCATCTTCAGAAGCCAGGTGGCACGTATCATCGGTACCTGGTGGTCTGCCAGCATGCGAAATATTTCTTCTTTGCGATGAAATAACGGTACCTAAAATTCAAGCTGTGATGTGAGCATCTTCTATAAATATTCTAACAGCACGTTTTATGTATTGATAAATTTTACTAAAATCAAACATTGGCACATTTTTACAGCACTGTTACATAATTTTTTTTAAAAAGATGTAAATGTAGAGCCCCGCTTCTCAAACTTTTGATCTCTGGGACCCAAGTGGTAATTTCCCAGACAACCCATCTAATAATTTGATAATAAATTGTGCTGAGTACTTTTATAGGATCCCTGAAATTTAATATGTTTCAAAAATTAGTACTTGATCTTGGCATTTCATCGATTTCTGCTTACTGTTATCAGTGGAGGAATTCGTAATAGCAGGCCCTAGGGAGGGACTTTTACAGATAGAGGGAGTAGGGTACCCACCTGAGTCCCACCATGGTTGGGGCTGAGGTAAGAAATTTTAATGATTATAACACCTCTAGAGGGCCGGAATTTTTTTTCTCCATTACTTTGAAAATTTAGGGAGCTAGGCATTGAATCCGCCACTAATTATTGTCCCTTTTTGCCACAGTGGAAAAATAAGACGTTGAATATTAAGACTTAGAATGAAATACGATAGAATTAAGAAAAAAAAATTAATTTTGTGTAGCCCAAAATCTAAAAAATATAGGATCAGCATTTTTGCAGAAAATATTCTTATATAAATATTAATATATTTTATAAAATAAAACTTGATAACTTGTGGTTATCATTTTATCAACCAACCAAGTAGCTGTATTATTGTTTGCATTTGCATAGATAGGCCTACCAAATTGCAACTTATTGGGAAAATTCTATATTTTGTGTCTATACTTGTTATTAAACAGTGAAATTTTTAGATTTACACAATTATTGTAGTAAGATATAAGATTCACTTGGAGAAAAAATACTGTTCCAATAAGGGTTCACCTAAAATACTGTTTTCAAGTCGTCATCTGTAATGTAAAAGACTTTACATCAACTGCGTAAATTAGCACATATGAATTGACAATCTGTTTTCAAAAGTCTTCTGAAAACCTGCTCGCGATGCAACACATAAGTTTGGCAATCCACTTTTGGGTCAGGACCCATAGTTTAGGAAGCATGGCTGTACACTGTAGAGGCATGCATACCATTTGAACCAAAAGAATATATAATTTTTAAAGTGAAGAGAGCACAATACGCTCGTTGTAAGCATAAACAAATGATATGCACTTATATGCAGCTATGAGAGGACACCCACTGCATTTGGTTGTCACTTTTAGTTGCCCATTAGTCTGTTTACCTCCGTTCCACATGATACCATTCATTCGTAGAGGGCAATAGTCAGATTAATATTAATATTTATAGAAAAGAATGCCTTTCATTATCTTATGTGTGGGCATACTTTAATGAGACAACCAAATACTGCGGGTGCACATTATGAGGAGGATGGCGATTTCCATCAGTACTAGTGGAGGGACATACAGTATTTACAAACGAGACTGTGCTGTCTTTACTTTTTATAATCGTTTAAGTCAGTTTTAGTCTGACTTATAAATTTGGTAAATAACCAAGTCATTCCAGTTTTGAATAACAAATTCATGTGTCATATCCTAAAGTTGATGATAGCTGAAGAAGAACAAATATTTAAAAAAATAGCATCATCCAAATGCCGACTTCATGTCAACTTCTACAAGATGTCCCTATGAAGACAAATACTCGACCCAGTACCAGTAGAAGATATTAAAAATACAACTAAGGGGTTGTGGTGGGAAATAATTAATTTCAATTAAATGTCCTGACCCCACGTTTGGGAACCCAAGGTCTAATATATTACTAAATAGCTCAGCTAAATTAATTTGAGTAGCCACAGTTTCACAATATAGGCTTACAGTGCTACTATAACTAGATAAGAAAAATAATTACTTTTGGATATAGCTTACCTTTTTAGCAAGTATGTGAAGAGGTCGTGTTCCTGCTAGGTCAACAAACCATGTATGCATATTGCTTGTGTTCCTCTGAGTAACCTGACAAAAACAAAAATGTGACATGGTTCAAAAATTATGAAGCTTATTGAAGGCTTAAAATCTGAAATGTATACTACTAATTTATGAAAAACCTTGGTGGATGCTAAGGATAAAGATGTTGCTGATGATATGATAGTGATAGCAGTGATATTATTGACAGTAAATATTATTTTGATGACGACATCAGTCATAACTTACGTTCCAAAAGTTTTCTCTTGATACCAACACTTTCCTTCTTCCACCATCTTGGAGGGTATTTAGCTTCTGCTTTTCAGCAACTATACCACTGAAATAGGTGCCAAACTGAAAAAGAAAAACAATATTTGTAAATATTAATAACAATTTTTAGCCAATATTTTAATGACTGAACTAGAAGAGTCTATTGTTCCTAAACTTATAGAATCAGGTATTATTAAATGTTATACTCGTTTTGTTGACGACACACTAGTGCTAGCTAAACCTAATGACTTTCATCACATCCTACGTCACTTTAACGCTTTTCATAAACAGATTAATTTTACCTTTGAATCATTTGTAAAGTGATATAGTACATTTTCTGGATTTACAATTTGACAACAGCGTAGAAAGCATGAGTATATATCGTAAAAATACACATATTCATTATGATAGCTTTGCCCCATGGAACCATAAGATTTCTTGGATTCGTAGTTTAGTTTCAAGAGACCACAAACTGTGTACTCCCGATAATCTTCAAGCAGAACTTTGTAACATTAGAAAATTCATGTCATGGAATGGGTACCCTTTAAAAGTTTTTAACCATGCACTCACTCAATTAATTAAATGAACCTAAATGTATACATAGGCCTACTGATGATAACTTGATTAAGATCTGGGTTAGATTGCCTTATCTACGAAAGGCTGGTGAATCCATTTTACGTAGATGCTTAAACAAAGTAAAGAAACACTTAGTTACAGAGGTAAAATTCATAACTTTACGGCAGTACAAAAATGTCTCTCACTTTATATCTACTAAAGATCAAACCCCTAGGGAATATAGGAGCTCTGTTGTTTATCATTTTAAATGTCCAGGTTGTGATTATATTGGTAAGACAGATAGATGCTTAATAACTAGACTTAAAGAACATTCTTCACGATCTGATAGTGTTATAAATGATCATACACAAAATTGTGAGGCATTACAATATGTTTTAGGTTTACAAGGTATACTTCAAATTGATAATGTAGCCTGTAATGTAAATAATAAATTAGGTTTAATATTTTCTAATACTAACATTATTGACAGTTCACAAAATTGTTCTATACTATTGTTTAAAGAAGCGTTTGCTATACATAGGCTACACCAATTGCTTAACAATGGGCTGAAAGCTTCAAAGGAGCTTTCTTTGTTTTTGTAGGTAGCTTTGATCAGTAGGGTAAGAATGCTTTGATCTTTAGTTTATTCATAACTATGTCACCTACTAGGGGTAATGTTTTGATTGGTCAAACACTTTTGGTACTTGTGCATATAAGCTTGCAAATATGGATAATTTTCCATTCCTGATGATGACATAATTATTGTCAAAATATTGAATCCCGACACGATGGCATGCATTTCGATGCTTGGAGTATGTATTATACTATCTTATCTGAGATTAATCAGTGGACCTTCCGATTAATAACAATATAATACTGAAAAAAAAAATTCTTTGCAAAATCATAAAATAAATATAGAAATACAAAAATAATAATCTTCAATTAATTGCATCTTGATCCAAATGTATATTAAACTTTACTTTACTGTTGTTCTATTAAAAACATAATTTCAGTCACAATTTGTGAATAATTAAATGAACAGTAAAATAATAAAATTAGTATCATACAAATAATCGCAATAATAATAAAAGAAGTTCAACAGTTACAAAACTGTATTTCTTTTTGTAATATTTCCCTTTTTACTAAGCCAAAACACATATTTTATTATTTTATTTTATTCAGTTCAAAACCAACAGTAATGAAAACCACCACTTACTGTATAGGCTGAATCTAAACGTAATAAAATATATGCGATAATTTAAATAATAATGTTAAAATTTGAAAATAAACTTACATAGATGAACAATTTTACTTTTAAAAACATTCCAAGTATCATAAATTTATTTCCTTCACATCCAACAGCAAGTACACTGACCACTTACAGGATGAGAATGATGCTTTATAAACTAACCGTCTTTATGAGGCTTAGGGAGTGGAGGAGTTGTTTTTGGTCGTGAGATAAAGTCCTGCTGTGACAAGAATTGAACCCAGGACCCTGGGATTTGAAGGCAAGCATCTTAACCACTGAGTTACTCAACTTCACTATACTCAACAAATAAAAAGCAGACTATTAAATTTGTGGGGTAATTGTGCAACTGCATGGAACGTGGAGCAAACACTTACTGCGGGTACAAGAATTAAACTAGAGCAGCATTAACTAGCCTAGGCCAAATCATTGGATGTTATAGAAAAAGCAGGAATTCCAGTACAGCACTGTAGTGAGTATAATTACAAACTTCTAGGTCAGGAAACCTAGGTAGACTAATAAAATTGGGCTAGTTCTGGGCATAACTTATTTTCTATACGATTTTGGCCCAGATAAGATAGTATAATACATACTCCAAGTATCGAAATGCACGCCATCGTGGATCGCGATCTGGAATTTTTAAGACTTGATTAATCACCAGTGCATAGACCGTATCACATCCCAAATTTTGAGGTCGAAATTGCGTCTAAAATGTGCGGCCTATACATAGGAATACAGGAATATCGCAGGTACCTACAAAAATAGGTGTACAATAGTAATTTGTGGATTGATATTGGAACAAGATTTTGGTAATCCATGGACCTATTGCTGCTGTCTATTCTACCATGGGCGGTCCGCTTAATAGCGTGTCCTGCTGAGGTAATCCACAATGATAATCTTTTGAACAAACAATATTGTTTACTTAGCTAATCGTGTCAGTCACATGCAGCCCGACTCTTTGCCCCAAAAGTGGGGTTGCCTTTCTGGGGATACTGTATGTGCACATAATGTTAGTTTCTGCATAATCATGGTAACCAGAGAGCGGTTAATACACAACCTCCTTTGGTGGAGGTACCACTTTTCAAAAACCACAGTTTTGATCGGTATGTTTTCAGGATTAGTTAAAAAAAAAAAAAGTTCTTTTAAATAGAAGTCAATTATTTGAGCATATTATAACAAAATTTGTAATAATTTAATGACAACATAATAAATACAGTCTCCCTGGACCCCTATGGAAAAAAATCCTTTATTGGGATTAGAGGGTTATCCCAGATATTAACAGTGATGTCTTGCTTTCTCAATTTTCTTTCTTTGTATTCTGTTTTTCCGGTTTTGTGATGTTATTAAATTGATATCATTATCAAATATATCAAATCAAAAATCCCTCTCTTTAAAGACCAGCTCTAATTAAAGACCATTTTTCTGTGAAATAAAGAAAAAGACATTATATATGTCTTTTTCTTTATTATTTTAATTAGAGACCATGGAAACCCCAGTCCCAAAAGTGATCTTGATTTGGAGGGAGACTGTATTTAAAACACACATACCTTTGAATGATTAATGTGACTGTTCCTGGCAGTACCTGTCTGTAGAATATCAAAAAATATAATTGTTTGATAATTTCATAAAAAAGATAGCAAAAATAATAATTTATAATAATAATTTTATTAAACTTATTTAGTATTCAGTATATTTATTGTCACTTGTAAAATTATTTTACAGAGAAATATAATTGCAATTGTTTGCTCATGAATAAATAACAGAAACAATAACTAGGTAACAACTAGCTTTGAACTCGTCGTTGAGGACGAGTTAGATGATCCGTTTGTCGGGCAAAAGAAATCTCTCGGCGCATAAAAGTGGGAATTATGGGAAACTACCGTAGCCAGGACTTTCAAACAGTGCAAGACAATATCAAGTCTGCCGCGCTCTCATTAGGGTTCTGAAAAAACTGAAGAAAGAAAGAGGTGGGGAGGAGTCAGAAAAACATTCATTTTGACCATGATGACGTCATCAAAGTGAATAATGGATGACACATTGTGAAAGCAAACTGTCTCAGCTATAACATATTCAAAGGTGGGAGACAATTGATCAACAATAAGCAAGATACATTCAAGTGAGTATAAAAATTATGACGTTATAAATAAAAAATCAGTTTTTAAAAATCAGATGGCAATATGATGTCACAATGTCCGATTAGCCATAATTATCTATAAAATCATATCTACAACTCATGTGCTCTTAGAATATGTAATAAAAATTGGAGGCCACCTAAGGAGCAATAAGTGATTAAAATTAGGCCTAATTTTAGCATTTTCACTGTATATCTATGTTTCCTATGTTTGATGCACACGTACAGCATTGCCATTGGCTATAAAATGATCGAAAAGAATGGAAATTTGTGAAAACAATGTCAGGAGCCCAAAATATGTAAAAAAAACGTAATTTCTTGCCTCCGTACATGCTCCGTACGTAAAAATGTGCGCGCATAGTGGAAAATGTAAAAAAATTTTGAAATTCTCAAAATGACCTGAAACGTGCTCTAATTTAGCCAGGAAGTCATTTTGAGCATTTTGAAATTTTAACGCACCCATGCGTGCGTTATGACGCGCACACAAAATATTTTGATACGTGATATTTAACCTTGACCTAAAAGTTTAAGCCTACTGAATATGATTGATAAATAAAAATTGGTTAGGATATGATTGATAATGTAAAAACGCAGAATTGCGCGTAGACTATGTCACGCATGACTAAGCACATTGAAAACCTTATAGTGACTATTCCAGGCCAAGCCAAATGTTCGTTGAAGTGCGCATGTGCGTAAATCGCGGCAAATTTGAGATATCGTGCAAACAAAAATGGAAGGAAAAGTAGAATAAAAAAAAAAAAAAGAAGATCTCTGACAATAACAAGAGATACTAGATGCTATCACCAATTAACAATCTGGTGAAAACTATACCCTGCCAGACACAATCACAGTATTTTTGAATCAAGGTTTCAGGAGTTGAAATTGAGATTGTGATAACTATACAAGGTAAAAAAAACTATCCTGCGTCGGATACCAACCCAGTATTGCTGAGTCTGTGGAATTTGTTATAAATTTGTAATTCTAACTGTGGTAATAACAATTTTACTCATACAATTTGAAAACATGCAATCCTAAACTTCTCCCACAAAGGAAAAATTTTAAACTTTCAAGGGTATTTCCACTAAAACCTCAATAGAAATGCCTTCCCTCCCACACAAACTTTGTGTCAAATTATCTTCCTAAAAAAGCTGTTTTCCTCAGCTGCCTTTTTATGATCAACATAGAGCCATGGCAGAGACTCAGGCTATACAAATCATAATCATAAGAATGTCACTATTTCACTTACCTCATCAGAGAAGCTGGGTTGGTTAGTGAAGCCCTGCTTCACATTACTTGTTGTTAATTCATCCTACAAAAGAAGAAAGGTACATGAATATTGGAAATCTGATTTGGTAATCGTCAGCGAAGAAGCAGACTTATTATGCTTTCATAAAATGCTCAATAGAATCATTGACATTGATTACACAAAAACATTGCACCCAAGCCAGCTGGAACCAGAAGAGGACATGACAAACAATTTCAAAGACACCAAACCAGAACGGATGTTTACGCCAACTAACTGACTGACTGGAACAACTTGCCCCCTTCCATTGTTTCACAGGAGACCTTCAAAAATGTTAAAACCGCCCTTAATACAACCCACTGCCTGAACGATTAGGTCACCATTCTATTTATTTTGATAACTTCATTTTCAGAGGGCAGCCCGTCCAGCAAAGCTGATCCACAATAAAATACAAAGCACACAGAAAATTTATCAAATAAATAAATATAAAAATTTGAGGCAGAGAGTTAAATATAGAAAATATACATATGCATAAAATCTCTATAAAAAAAAATTTTTAAATGGCAGAGATACAAATTCCAAAAGACAAAAAGGACAGGTCAAAAGAGAGGCAATCAAGATTTCAGTTTTAATGTTCCAATTGTAGACTGATAGATCCATATTGGGAGATTATTCTCCTACTACACCTCCGTTTAAACTCCAACATGGAGTATTTTGGAGTGAAGAAACCAAGTACTAAGACCGAAGACTAACCTCAGTTTATAAGCAGATTCAGCATTTTAGCACTGTATATATGTGCAGTACTTACAGTAATATTAAACACAGCTCGTGACACAGCTTACTTAGACATAATGTAGTTCATTTAACATACTGTACAGTAGGTGAATGATCACAAACACATATTATCATTATGAGAAAGGGCCTAGGCCAGCATAATATCGTACAGAATCTGTACAGTATTAGAATCATTCTGTGTAGTGGTGGACAAAAAGGACAAAATTGTTCAGACCCAACACACAGTCAACCTTTTTTATTGTCCCACACAAATTGATATTGTTACTTGATTGAAGTAATGGCAAGTTGAATGGCTGAGCGATTAAGGCAGGAGCATCGCAACCTACAGCCATAATATCGGCACTGGTTCAAATGACACCTGTGGTTCTCCTGGTTGAACAAGTCTTCTCGGACAAGGACTATAAACCGTAGGCCTAGTGTACACAACTGGTTCATGTGCACTTCAAAGAACCCAGTACATCTTTCAAGGAGAGTAGGGGGTGGTTACCCATGTGTACTGGTCCATACAGCCACTGTTTACTGTCCTTTGCAGGATGTACCTAATTAAACATACATTACAATTCTAAAAAACAAATTTAATATGATGACAATAATAATATACAATAATATTAAATACAATAAATCATCTGTCATATAAATAACACTTAACCTTGTCATATAACCTTACCAAGTGAAGTGCATTTTTATAAATACAAGTCAACCCGTACCAATGCCATTCCGTACCCACAACCTGTACCCAAATTTTGGCGGACCCGTATACAGAATGTTGGCGTACCCGTACCCATCTTTGGCTAACCCATACCCACCATAGGCTAACCCGTACCAAAGTTTGATGAAAGATATTATTTTCTATATAGGACATTATGAAAGAATACAACATTATTATAGAGTACAACAGTCGTGTCGTCACAACATGGGGTGGCGCCCTTTGTCAACCAGAAGTTGGTTACCGTTCATTACGACTGAATGACTTCATATCTTAATGGTTTAGATTAGGTTTTCTGGAATAGGCATTTTAAAACTTTATAATTTACCATCAAAATGTGCAAAAAACTCAAAAGCTCGCATTATATTAGTTATAGTTAAATAAATTTTTCAAAGAAAAATTAATATACAACATCTTAATAATTATGTGAGAAATTAGGATCGATGGTTTGTCAGTGGAGACAATGGAGCCGCTTCAAAGCATTTTGTGTCACTGATAGCAATGGAGTAGTATCTTGGGTATCGTGATGTAACAGTGTAGTACTCTATTGCCCATTTAGATAGTAATCTTAATAAACTGTATATGAACCGTATCGGCAAACTGGTTTGAAGACATATTACCTTTGATCAGAGCATGCATTATAACAAGAAAGTCATGATCACCGAGACGCCATATTGTATGCATTTCGATCACGATTAACAGCCGCAGTATGGAATGCCGATCCATTGTACACACTAGTGGTTTCTTTTAAATGATGTTTGGAAAGTAGACTTAGTATTTTAATTTTATATATTTTGTATTTTTTACGATGCTTGAATATACATAACACTTTTTTGGATATTTTTTTTCAAAACACACATTTATTCAATTAAAATTTACAAAGAAATTAAGATACAACATCTTAATAATTATATAAGAAATTGAGAACAATGGTTTGTCAGTGGAGACAATGGAGCCGGTTAAACGCATTTTGAGTCACTGATAGCAATGGAGTATCACGTGGTATCGTGACGTAACAGTGTAGTACTCTATTGCCTATTTAGATAGTAATCTTAATAAACTGTATTACTATTATGAACCGTAAAGCCAAACTGGTTAGAAGACATAATTCAATTCATTCAAAAGACATTTATTAACTTCCAATTGCAATCATACAGAAAAATACAAAAAATCGGTTTATGAGGAAAAAATTCAAAAGGAAGAAGGCACAAGCCCGAGAAGATTTGAAAAAAAAATCTTGTGATGGGCAGGCCTGGACACAGACTCACAAGAACACACAGAGACCCAGACAAACAAACAAACACACGGCCGCGAATTCCATAATGGGACAATTTAAATAAAAGAATATTGTGATCAATGGTGTCGAAGGCCTTGGAAAGATCTATAAAAAGTCCAATTGCAAGCTGGCGATTTTCAAAAGCATTAACAATTTTGTTTGTTAGATCGTTAAGGGCCATTGAAGTACTGTGTCCTTTCCTGAAACCGAACTGTTTTTTTATAAAGTATCTCGTATTTAGTAATAAACGAGAATATTCGATCGTAAATTACCTTTTCCAAGGCCTTCGAAAAAATGGATAAAATTGAAATGGGACGATAGTTAGAGAGGTCAGATTTGATGCCTGATTTGTAAATAGGGGTAACGCGCGCTAACTTCATCCTGTCTGGGAACACACCACTGGTTAGGGCAATGTTAAATATATGGCATAATGGACGAGAGATGAGATTAGCAATGTATTTGATGGCTTTTGTATGGAAGTCGTCAATACCTGGGGATTTGTTGGTTTTAAAAGAAGCAAGTACTTGGGTCACTTCAGCCTCATCAACTGGGGTAAGAAATATGGAATTATTGGTTGGGTTTGGGAGAAAGTCTTTGAATGATTTATTGGCGTGGGGAATTTTGTTTGAAAGGGAAGGTCCAATTTCGACAAAGTATTTGTTAAAAGCATTAGAGATTTTATCTGGATCCTTGGTCAATTCTTCATCACAATTAAAGGAGGTATTGGAAAGTTGACTACTACATATTACCGAGAAGCTGTATTGTATGCATTTCGGTCACGATTAACAGCCGCAGTATGGAATGCCGATCCATTGTACACACTAGTGGTTTATTTTAAATGTTTGGAAATTAATTTTATTTATTTTGTATTTTTTATGATGCTTGACGATATATAATACTTTTTTGTATTTTTTTCCAGTTACATAATTATAAGTTGTTTTACGATTGTTATTGTTTCAGAGAAATTTTAATTACAATTCATTTGAATATAATTTTAGTGTGTTTTAGTACGAGTATGTAGTTTAAGATATTTAAAAACAAGGTTCTTTTTCTTGCAGTTCGAAGTGAAAAGTCAAATTATTTATCAATTTCTGAATTATTCATAATAAAGGCCTATGTGTTTTGTTACGGTATTAATATTGTAAATTGTTTAATCAAATATACTTTATATATCTGAACTGAACTAATACGCTCACACACCTGCAATGCCATCGCATCATATTTCCATTTATTTGTGTATCTCATAAACATGATCATCAGTCAAACTTCAAAGTTAACGGTGACATGCATGAAGTAGGTGAACACAAGTTACACTTTCACTACCATTACACGTGTTTGCACCTAAAAAATAGCTAGGTCTATTTTTAGCATCACCTTTATATCTTGTTATTTTATTGTATTGAATATATTTTTGATGTTTATTGCAAATTTCGCCTGTAAGTGGTAATGAAGGGTTCCTGTTGGACGATTGTTATAAAATAAAAATTAAAAAATAAAACAAAAAATCAATACACATCAAAATTCATATGAAATTGAATGAATAAAAGGAAACGAAATATAATAATAAAAAATAATAATAAAAAATAAAAATAATAATGTTTTTCCTACCTAGAACTACTGTAGGCCTACCTGACTATTCAAAATTGCCATGAAACCTGAAACCAACTATTAATTTGATTTGGCCTAAACATTTATCATACATTGGTTACGGGTGCAGGTCAACTCGACCACAAGTCAACTTGGCCACAGTCAACTTGGCCACAAGTCAACTCGGCCACAAGTCAACTCGGCCACAAGTCAACTCGGCCACAAATCAACTCGGCCACAAATCAACTCGGCCACAAAAAGTTTGGCTACAGCCAACTCGACCACAAGTCACATTGCCCACAAGTCAACTCGGCCACAAGTTATTTAATGTAAATCTCAGTTTTTGTATCCTTTTTCTTCAATATATGATTGAAATAAAGTACACAGCATATTTTAGCAAAACAGGACCACCACACTACCAAAAGAGATTTGAATGCTATTGCCTATGAATTAAAAAGAGTTATTTATTAATGTTTTTGTCTTCTGTTTACTCACAACACTCTACTTCAACAATAATATTAAACAACAATAATGACAATAAATTAGTAATGTTTACTTTAATAATACTAATTAGTCATTATGACGATAATAAAGGTGATAACAACAACAACAACATTAATAGTAATATTTATTTTAACAATACTAATAATACTAGTATTTATTTATTTATTTTTTTTAATTTTATTTATTTATTGGTATATACACTCAAAATGCAACAGAAGTTGAAATTCTTATGAGTTTACAATATACAGTAAAAGCTAAAGTACCAAAAAAGAATCGATAACAATACAATATTGCACATTAATA